GATGATGATGATGATGATGACAATACGCCTGTCAGTCTACATAACTCTTCCCTGTTTCACAACGACTCCTGCTCACTTGTTTTTTTCATACCAGACGCCCTCCATTGGCTGTAAGGAAATGACATTGCTACCTGTTATGTGGTTCCTGGTTTTCAAGCTCTCCTCCAATTCCAGAAAACCATCACCACCTTCACCAACCGGCACTTTGTATGGTTTCGTAAGCGTCTGGGTGTCTCTTTGAGCTTTCTTTGTTTTTTTTCCATGTTATCGGACTTTAAATGCCAATGTGCAAAGCACTGCCCCTAATGAACGGATTATTCTAGAATTTTTCCAAATCAATGATTTTTTCAATAAATATTCCTGACTGAATCAACATTCGATAAGGCAGTGTAGCATTGTTCCTAATCTTTAGTTACCCGTCTGTCAGCTCGTCTCATTCATCAGTTTCTGGTTGTATGCATTCTTCCGCATTGGTTTTCTCGTTGCTCACTTTCTTTCATAGCATCAAACAACAAAACATTAATTGTCCAACCCCTTGGATTGTTAACCCAACAGACATGCATACAGGACAGCATAAGATCTGATGAACGCACGATATCCAAACACCGACCTGTATCGGTCTTGCTTAGAAAGTCCTACTAAAATAAAAAAATCGTTCAACTGTAACACCCTTCCGGTGCCTAGCTGCACTGCTACCCAAAGGAAGCACGAGGGCTGGGATACTGTCAGGTTGTCCAAGCCTAGACAGGGAAAGTCGAGAGGCAGAGGTCGGGTTCGAACCACAGACCTTCCGGTCAGTAAATTCGCGCTCTAACCACTTGAGCCATCTCGCCCCCAGAAAGTTCCACCGGATACTCCTCAGTCCCTGCACACTGAACTACTAAAGTTTGCGACGATGTTTAGAAAAACTTTCCTACCAAAATTACTTACAAATCCACTGTTTCATTTGGTAAATCAGCTATCGCCTACTTTATGGTGTACTCGTACCTTTTGCTCTTTCGTCTGCTGCTTGTGAGAAGAGGAGTTTGGTGGTCATCAAGCCTGACATTATTGTGCCAACCAAACTGACCGTTAGTTCTGCTAGTATGTGTGAGAGGCAAATACTCAGCAATGAGTGAAACACTGCAGGTTCCCTCCGAAATTTGCTTTTGAAAGCACGGGATTAAATTTACGGAGACGAAGAAAAGGTTATGGGACTTGCACTACGTCACAGAGAGACCACTCTCCAATTTCGGGATATTGTTCGCTCCGACGTATACCAACTTTGCCGACACTGATCTAACACTGAGTGGCAGCATTAAACGTTGTAAGCCATTTTTCGGTTTGGACGACGCACAAAAGATCAAGCACGCCACAAAAATGAAACAATCATTCTCTTGAAGAAAAGTAACCATTACTCGCGCCCATTAAAACACTTGGACAACAAAAGATTCTTTCTTGAAGACTGCCAAAGATGAGCTTCAATAACAGATTTCCAGTTTACCACACAACCGTTAAAACTGAGCTGACTAAAGTGCGAAACTGCGTTGGATAACCTTTGCAAACACATAATGTGAGTATACTGGCCTCTACAATAAAGCGAGAGACGGGTTTAGATGTATGAAGACGATAAGCTCCCGCATTCGGCGCTTCAGAAAATGGTCTCATTGCGAGGTCTGCAGTAGTTTTAGAAAGTGCTATGTAGATGCCTTCACGACTTTCCACGGAACAGGGTCATTGCAAGTACAGGGGCTGGCGTCTCTCCGTGAGAAAACCACAAGACAACACATGTCACTCGCTAGACACAGACAAACAAGATCAAGTGATGCTCTGGCATATTGTCTCAAAAGCATAATCACTCCCTCTCAAACCTAACAGGAGGCTCGAGATAACTCAGTGGTTAAGGCGCCAGCTTACGGACCGGAAGGTACGTGGTTGGAACCCAACCTCAGCATTTCGACCATTCCCGTCTGGGCTTGGGCAACCTGACAGTATCCTATCCCTCGTGCCTCCTTCCGTTGGAATGGCAACTAGCCGCCGAAAGGGCGCTACAAATGAACGACTGATATTATTGTTTAAAAAACCTAACACCATCATGTGAACGGTAACCGGTTGTACTCTTCCAATATATGGGAGAGTTTGGCTGGGTTGTATTGCAGGTATATTAGGTACGACTTTGGAAATCTCACCCCAGTCATCATTGAGATTCGACATCGGGCGAACAGACGGGTGTTGGATAAACGGGTTTCCATGGGTCTGTTTGATTCATTGATCCATGAGATACTCAATGACTAAGGTGTTGTGTGCCAAATTGAAAGGTACAATGAAACAACAATGGTATTTTACGTGCTTCAAACTTGCGGAAAATAAAATCACGGTGAACGCCCTCAAACAGTTCAACCTGAGAATCTGTAATCCACATATCCCACTTCAAACTTTGAAATTTTCCCTCTGAAAATAATTAAATCAGAAAAGGTGGCTTTTGCGTTTTAACTAGCTACATCCGAGCATAACCACCTACAATGATACCGAATATCCGGGCATGGACATATGGGAATTGCAAATCGGGGTTACCCGAAAATACATACCTTTTGAACCATTATATCCTTTTCTGGTACTGTAATTCGTATGGTCAGGTTTCCGGATGCCACGTTGCGGTCGTACAGCTTTCTGATATTATTTGTCAACTGAAAAGATAGTGTTCATGGAAAGATTTCGTCACCTTAAATGTTTTCGATGAATCTCTGAAAAGGAGCTTCAACATTACATCCGTCTTATGCGAGTATAGACTGACCAAGGCCATCTTGGTTACAGTGCGGCATGACACGAAACCCGAGTTAAAATTATCCACCACACAGACAGACGCCGAAAAGTTCATTTCAAGAAGGAATACTTCGGGATCGGTCCTGGAAAATCAAATAAGAAAGAAAATAAAAAAATGGTTACGAACGGAACTAATACACGAATAGTTAGAAATGCACTGATTTTCCGAACCGATTCACTCACGAAGGAGTCTTTACTGCTTCTTAGTGCTCTTATTGCCTCGATCGACAAAACGTCGTGCTCCTTACGACGGCCAGCAAACCAAGCGGCAGTTGCGCTGTCCAAAGCGATGGTATGGAACCAATTTTTCTCCCAGAGATCCAAATCCCCTTAGGAGAACCTTATGCAGCCTCCTGTTGGATTTGGAAAGCTGCAAGTTAAGCCACCCACTTACAATTTATTGAACACAGCATGCTGTTGTTATAGCAAGTATTGATTCAACTGTACCCTCGTTCGAAGTGGTTAGAGCGCGGATTTATTGACCTGAAGGTCCGTGGTTCGAATCCGCCCTCCGCCACTCGACTTCCCCTGTCTAGGTTTGGGCAACCTGGCAGTATCCCAGCCCTCGTGCTCCCTTAGGGTGGCATGGCAGCTAGGCACCGGGAGGGTGCTACAGCTGAACGCTTTATCTTTGTCCTTTTACCCTCGTTCACCGACCTTGTGAAAATCGCCATATCGTCATTCGTTTGTTCCTAGTTTTGTGCCCTCCATCACCTAGAGGATCGTGCGCTTGTTTGAACCCCCGGCTCCAGAACCTTGATGGTGTGAAAAGACACCCAAACAAGAAGCCAAAGGGCAAAACACGTGAGTGCAAAATAACGGGGATCGTTGCAGTATATGGTGAGTACTTTTACCTTGAATCAAGACTTCTCGGTCGACATTGAGTTCTTAGTACTACTGGATGCTATGCTACAGGGAATACGACTTCCTAAAGCGCCGGAAAGCGAATCAATCTCCCTGTGTTCTAATATCCGTGATTCCGTTTCCATTACAGCAAAACCTTTTGGATCATCTCCATGACCTTCTGCTTTAGTGATGAAGAGCTTGAAAAGGCAAGAAAATGGAAAGTGGACGCCTTACTGCACACGCTCCGCGAGGTTCTTCGATTATCTTCATAAGCAGTGTGCAAAATTCTCTGGGCTAGGAAGTCGGAGAACTTTAAAGAAAGAAAGAAAGAAAGCGTTCAGCTGTAGCACCCTTCCGGTGCCTAGCTGCCATGCCACCGGAAGGAAGCACGAGAGCTGGGATACTCCCAGGTTGCCCAAGCCTAGACAGGGGAAGCGAGTGGCGCAGGTCGGATTCGAACCACGGACCTTCCGGTCAGTAAATTCGCGCTCTAACCACTTGGGCCATTTCGCCCATTTCGGAGAACTTCAACCCAGGGTCCACCGATTCTGCTCTTCAGCTTATACGTAGCGCAGATGCAAAAAAGAACCTATTCCCTAACAAGTGCTACGATAGGTATGTATCCACCAAAAATGAACTGGTTCGTTGGACTGTGGCAAATACGATATGAATTGCTGGTGCCGTTTTCTTCGTTGCTTTAGTAACACTAATTTTACGCACACTATTACATACGGTTAGGCCCCGAGAGTACCGCCTTTTTGTAAAGAACTCAAATATATGCATCTCCGAAGTTTGTTACGAACAAACGCTGTCAAATTAGTGCACCGGCAGCAAAGCATCGGTGTTGAACACTGATGTCATGCTGTCGATGATGGTGAATTATAGTGTGCCAGCCGATAAGGCTGCTGATCAGACGTTAGTAGTCTGAAGTGTAATTCTATGGGTTTAAAACTCTCTGGTATTTCGTGAGATACACGATGCTAATTGTTCCCAGCAAGGATAAAAAGTCTGTGGAATGATTCCCGGCATTTCAGTACATATTGGTTCTACTTATAGAAGCAAATCCCCATTGGGAACGACCTAATCTCCTACTGCGAAAAATTCCAGCCTTGACCCCATTAAGTTTAACAAAAATATTTGGCTTGCACCAGCTCACTCGCCTAAATAAGCTACACGTTTTTACGTATAGAAACGCGCTGTTCGCTTCTCCCGGAGGCATACATAACCGGGCGCACGTACTCATACCGTCCTTGGACGGGAAGGTGCAGAACTTGTCCCTATGTGCCACCAGTGGGGATTTTCAAAGATATGCCCACAACTATTCGCCGCGTATGTGTTCGGCATCCAGGACACCCGAGAAAAATTGCTTTGACGCTTTTGGGTTAACGTGACCGTTGCACCTTGGCAAAATACACGTGACTGTAGTGGGGTTTCCCACTATATCGCGGGTATGCGCACGCACTCGCAAAGCTCGCTGGCGTTGTCCGATTTCTAACCCTTGGTTGTCACTTCAGCAGCACAGCCACGCAATTCAATTGAACTTTCCACCTCGGTGGCACTCTTGTCCCGATCCCGGGTTGTCCCGTTTTAAGAATGCCCATATGTAATAACAAGGGAGATTTGCCCCGTCAACAACCGGAATCACGCGTTGACGCGCGGAGCACCGCAGCGTTTGCGCGTAACTTTCGGCACTGACACTTTGGTGACCTTTTTCTCAAGTTTTAGGAAGAAGTTCACCGACGGAGGACAGTGATACACATTATCGGAAGTGCAAAGCAGATGTTTTCCGTACACAAAGTTGTGATATTCCACGGACACCCCATCCTACGACGACTCCGGTAAGCAACGCCCTCGGCGTTGGCTGAGCCATCGTGGTGACAATTGTGCAAGTTCAGCATGTGTTAACCCCCCTCAAAATAAATGCACTTCATCCAGACCGCCAAAGTGTCCATGATGTGAGAAGCCGACCTCCATCCTACAAAAATTTCTGTAGAACAGAGTTAAATCCTTGACCACAAAATTGGGATTTTATAATGTAGGAATATAAGCTACCTACTGGCTCTACTATGCCGACCCGAATGAAAACTCGCGCCCGCACAGTGTGGCTCTTGACCCCAGTACATTTGCCCAAGAAGCGCTAATATCTTTAAGGTAGGTATCGTCCAGAATTGCAAACAATCTCCAGTTAAGCCGGCCGTCAAGACCGTTGTTCGGAGGGAGCCGCACTGAGCCAACGAACCTCATGTCGACTAACGGACGCGTCCCAAAGATGCTGGAGACCCAACGGTGTACTGTGATTGGCCAGAATACGAGCCAGTCATAATTGAGCGCTTTTAAATCGCACATTCGAGGTCGATTTTGAGTCAAGGTCAGTGGTAACACCGCAGATGAGTCTGTAACAATTTTTTCTTTTCATCCACAGTGTCCTCGTCACATCCACTCTTGTCAAGATGTAAGTACGAACAGTTTCTAACCGACTTGGACATTTGTCAGCTCTTGCACAGGATCAATCCATTCTGCGCGTTGGGGCTCGACGAGTTCCATCTAAGGGTCCTGAAGAAAACGTCGTCTACACTGGCAAACCATTTATACCTGGTATTCCGTCAGTCGCCTGAAGAAGGCCGCTTTCCCTCTGTTTGAAAGGAAGCGATTGTCAAGCCAATCTACAAAACTGGTGACGACTATCAGCTGAGAGGCGCAGGCCTATTAGCCTCACTAACATGCCATGCAAAGTGATGGAACGCACTCTGAAGAGAGCTATTCTAGATCACCTTACTCCCAGCTACCTGATATCTCCAGCTAAAAACAGATCAATCCCAAAACCTTCTTGCGTGGCAAACATGCTCGTGTATATGGACAGCCTAACCCAATCCAAGGACGAAGGACTCATATCGGATGCCATATTTTTCGACTTCTCAAAAGCATTTGTTAGGGTCCCACATATCCCGCTGCTCCACAAACTCGAGTCTTGCGGATCTCAAGAGAAAATCCTTCACTGGAACAAGGCGCTTTTATCGGACAGATCATTCCGAGTGGAGGTAGGTTCTAGCCACCACTCTCCAGCGTCGTTCTGTATTGGAGTTCCTCAATGCTCCGTTTTGGAACCGCTGCCGTTTTTGATCTACTTCAACGACCTTCCAGGTTTTCTTGCAAGCCCATGTCCGCTTTTTGTGGACGACATGAACTCCTGGATTTCCAATGCCTGTGCCCTCCAAGTTGACGTAAACGCTGCAAAGCAGTGATCGTTGAACTGGCACATTCTTCTATACTTCATTTGGAGACTCAGCGAGTGCCTTCGTCATGCATTGTGAGAAAGGAACAGAATAGCTGGGCGCCAAAGTGGATTTGATATCTGAGTCTTCTCACACTTCTTGCTGCACCATGAGCAATCGACCCAGACGAAATTCGCCATTCTACGGGTGATCAGACTCATCTTCTCCTGTACTACTCGCATAAACTTCCAAATGCTCTACGGAGTATACCTCAGACCACGCCTCGAAAACGTCAACCAAGGTGTTCACTCAGGATGCACGAAAACAATCCTCAATGAGCGTGTCCAGCGAGCCACTACGAAAATTTTTGCCGGCTTCAAATCCGTGGACTACGGACGCGTCTCGAGTTTCGTGACCTCTTTCCCCTGGAGTATCGTCGCCTCCGAGGTGGCCAAATTCTTACCTTTGCTCTGCTTGAACAAAGCTTGACCAACAGTTTCTTCAACACCGACACTCCAGACACACGGCTGTGCATGGTTAGAAAATTTTGATGCCCAGAACGCACAGATTCATTAGGCGATTTTTTCTCATCTCAGGTAGCAGCTGCGTGAAGTAGTCTTCCCCCGGTGGTTGTCCACGCTCCTTCTAGAACCCAGTTCAAAGCACTGCTAGACATTTATTTATGTGAATGCTCACACCGACCAGCAAACCGCCAAGCTCTGAGAACATAAAGAGCAATGCTACACCCTTTTTCGCTGGTGCCTTTCAGGCGGACGGCAGTCACTGGAAGATAAGAGCAAAACCGACCCCGGAAATTTGGGCAAAACCTCGATCCTGTATATCACTCTGTGAATCCGTGAAAAACGTACAATCGATAATGACGCAATTAGCAGGAGCGGAAAATGGCCACCGAAACGACAGGGATTTCTAGAAGGATCAACAAGTAGGCACGGAACGATGTACAAACATACATATATGGGGAGTCTCACAGTGTGATTTGGCCGCATAGAGATATACTGGCGC